TCAGTCAACGCTCTACCGAAAGTCATGGATGTTCTCCCAGTACTCCGGTTTCCTTCCACAGAGAATGTTGACAGGGTGGGTTGGGATTATCTCCCTAACTGCCCCTTCCACCGTGCTGTGCTCCGTGATCAGACATGAGTCATAAGGTGGCTGCCATAGGCGCCCTTAGAAAGCCTTCGACTCGATCAGGTTGAGCTGCGTCCCTCGTAATTCAGCTTAGCTCTGTACTTACTTACTTACTTACTTACTTACTTACTTACCTACATTATACATATATCATATAGTGCATTACTGGGGAATTTCGTAGTGGTATTTTGATAACTTTCAATGACATGCAGACGTGTTGAGTATAATGTATCACAATACGAAAAAGTTCAAGTAATGTGTATTTCATGTATATCACAGTTGAAACGAAGGCAATGCTAATATCATGTTAATTTACATGTTAAACTTTAAATTTGATTTTCTCGGCTTAGACAACGTTGATTTTCAAACTCGCAATCCGTACTTTATCATATCTAAAACATTGGCTTGTCGTGTTTAAAGTGCTACTGCAGCGAATTTTTCGACCCTCATTTTTTTAGCTTAATTAAAAGTGCTTTCCTTCCTGACCTGTTTACCACAAACAGAATTGAAATTGGTCAATTCAAACCGATTTTATAGCCTTCCAAAGTGGCCATTTTTGGCACTTCCTGTGCGAACTTTTGATCGGCCATGTTGATGCCATGTGACGTCATAAGATGAACACGATTTTATCATGGCGTATTAAAATTATAGTAAAACCAACAAACGCGGAGACGAAGGCCGTGTTTCTGGCAGTTCTAACTTAGATTATTGCACGAATTCTGAACAGCCTGAAGGAATACCCATGCATCCATTTCCCAACAAAGAAACAGATCCACAGAGTGAAAGAAAGGCAGTGAATTTTATCCGTAAACATTGACCGCAGGTTTTCACGCATCTGCGAACCTAGTAGTGTTTTGATTGACCCCGTTTTGAAGATTCGTGCTATCTCTTATTTTCATCGACAAAACCTCGTAAAATGGAAAGAATACTGAAGGAAGAAACTGTTTATACAATTTACATGGCTAGAATTGTTCCCCTGGCTAAAGTACAACTAACAGACGCAAGGCAAATAATTCAGGTGATATTATAGTGAAGTACAAATTAATATGTTCGCACACTGACACATGGTGAATATTTTGCGCAAATGATGCTATATTGTTAGTCTAAAGTGTTTAACATTTCTTATGTTTTAGAGCATTTGTGGTTGTAAAAAGGCTATCTCCTGTTAAGTTACTTTCTTGTCCAGAGCATCTTGAGATTGAAATAAAGACAACAATTCAGCATGCCTTGACGGCTTGAGTGCTTGACCTAGTTTCGTCAAGACTTCTGATGTTATTTTGAGAGAAACGATGACATTGGAGTTATATTCAGTCATATCAATAATACATATTGCATAGTATAAAGTAACAATAAATATAATAATACAATAGTATAATATTGTACTGGTACGCTATTTATGTGAGAAATATATTTGTGACTTTGAAGATTAATATAATTTCAAAATATTACAGTAAATGTGATATTGCACAGTGGCACAATTTTGACTCAATGGTTAACAATCAGCCTAATCCAACTAAAGTCGACCGCTTTTCTGTTCAAACGTAAGGCAGCTGTGTCTCTGTTGTTGGAAATTATTTTCTTCTGTTTCCCATCCAAGTAAAACTATAGCCATCAATAGAACCACAGCCCGTAATTGCCAATTACACATATCGCTATCTATTGAAAACAAAATCAAAATCATTTTGAGTATTGCGAATTATTAGGCTATGAATATGCTTGTGTTTATAAACGTTTTTATATATTTTTGTCACACACAATCCAGTTCATACTAAATATTAAGTTACACACACCAGATGTGTTCAGACGCAATACCGAGGCATATACATACCGAGGCACAATACAGTTTATATATACATACATGCAATAAAAAGGATCTACTTACCACTAATTTTACAGGTATTGTACCATCGCTTGATTGCTCCAACACAGTCACAGATGGTAGTTGCCTATCTGCAGCGGCGTTATATAATTTCTCTATCACTTCGTCTAGTGAAGCTGTATAAAAGCTGTTTAGCCAACTGGTTCATCATCGTATTTCAAAGCCGACTTAGTCCATACTCGTTGACTTCCAGATGAAGTACTGACCCTATTATCTGAATCTCTAACCATCATTCCGCCGTCAAATAAACAATAAGATATAGCACTTGTTCTTCGATTTTTAAAAATCAGTTATCTGCGCCATAAACAAGTGAAATAGACAAAAATTCCACTGCAATATGTTGACGCGCCATATAATTTACTACAAATACGACCTTCATATCTTCGTTTCCGTTCATCTTATGACGTCACGGCATCAATATGGCGACGGAAAAGTTCGCACGCGATAACCAACTTCAGAGGTTAAATTTGGCAACTTCTAAGCATCGCATGATGGTCAAATATATATCAAAATGCTTCTAAAAGACTGAATTTTTATTTAAGCTAAAAAAAACTAGGTCCAAAAATTCGCTGCAGTAGCACTTTAAACTAATGAACATATTTGTCATTTGATGTAATTTCATATTAAGGGAGTTTCATTTGTTATGACTAATTCAATGGCCCTACACGTGCTGAACATCTGTTGTTTTTCAAAATACAACGATATTTTGTTCATATTTTCCTCCCACATAACACGTGTAGGTGGATAAATTATTAGATTTTGTATGTCATTATTAACCAGTTCTGATCGTATTAAAATAAGCTGTCCCTCAACGACTGACCGTTGAATTACCGTGAATCAACGATATGTTAGTCTTAGAACGAGGTTTCGTGATCCTATCAAACAATTATGTTTTGTCTTTAATTTTCTGTTTTTTCTCTGCGCGCTCTTGACAACAGGAGTACTATAACTCCGGAATGCACATCTTTTTGCATGTGAAATGGTATATTTGGCACTCATTTCCACGTTCCATGATAACATGTGAGTTATGCCATGGGAACGAGGTTGCATGTGAACATATTAATTTCGGGATCTAACATTCAAACTCGAAGTGTGTAAACTAGTTTATGAATCGAGCTCAACTCTTAAAATCTGTAATAGTAATTCATGCTGTATTTTTTTGTATTGTGATATCAAACTATAAGTACGTCCACACTCTATTAATAGGCTAATATTGTGGTGTTGTAATTTATATAAGGATCACGTATAAAATATTTCTTTAAAATTGAGGCCCAATGACCTATATATACAACTACAATAAGCAAGACAAAAAGACTCCTATTTTCAAAAGACAACTATTTTCAGTATCTATATCTCTGAAAATGAAACTGGATATCTAAAATCGAAAATGGTCGTCGCCCTGGTATGCAAATAACTTGTCTGATGTAAGAGGAATGTCTACCTGTTAGTAGATCATGCGATAATATTTATCTACAAGTCTGTCCAACAACTGCATAATATACATACGTATCTCCATCTTTGTCTTTCTTCAATAATTGCGTAAGTAAATTCTGCTTTCTGTTTCCAGCTTCAGAATAATGACGTCCTGTACAATCAGGTCTTTTCCATTTTTTCTCCCTCTCCAAATGAACATCCCGTTGTTCCTTTCTCACAATTTTCGATGACGAATCGTTATATAGTTCTGGTAAATTTCGTTTTCGATGTTCTTGCATGGATACATTCTTAAGTTTGCAAGTAATGTTGTGTGTTCGTGAACATTCCGTTTCACTTGTAGAATTGTTATGAGTATTTGCGTCATGAGAGTTCATCTTGTGTTCAACTTCATCTTGTCGCAGATGGCGTGTACTGCCCTGCGAACTTTCATCTTTTTCCATTGTCTGATATATTAATGTTAATGCAACAAATATCTTTAGATACATCCGCTTGTATTTTTAGCAGAATCTAGTTTATAAATAGAATTTTATAGAGATAAAGTTATCACTTTCACATGAAATAGAAATAATAATATGCAAATCTGCTGTTTATTATATTATGACACGTGCATGGCGTTTCGGACAAAAGGACGAAAAAAAAATTCAAATCGAAGTTGAGCATAGTTGTATTTGAAGTCAAATATGTTCGAATCGAAGTCGAAAACACGATAAACGAAGTTAGAAAAAAAGATAATCCATGTCGAAAGTACGATAATCAAATTAGTCGATTTTGTTTCATCGCAGTCGAAAGGAAGCTAAGTGCAATAGTATAATATTCGAAGGAAAGAGAAGTACTAGGGTGATACAATAGTGTTGTGGACGAGAGCACAGGTTCAAAAGTGAAACTGGAATAGGAGTTTACAATACCTGTATGGGACAGAGTTCCATGCATGGGTATCTCACACTCGTTGAAAATGAAAAGGTGGCGTATGCAGCGATAGATTTGCTTGATGTACCGAGTTCTTCTCAAGATATCGAGATTCTTCGAAGTAGCTTGAGTGCACTGCGTGAAGAAATTGAATTTTGATCCAACAATGTGGAAGACGACAATTATGAGAACTGCATGTCAAGGATACAACTTACGCAGTCGTCTTGTAGAACATAGAAAAGAAGAACGAGGACGGCCCAGGTTGGAAATCACATTTGCTGTACATAAGTGATTGAATACACTTCTTAGAGAATCAAAGATCCTTACATGACATTTGAACAACAAGGCCTTGCTCTCTACATGACCCTTAATTGGACAAGCATCAACCCTGCAGATTGGTACATCGAGGCACTTCTTGGACAATATTGTCAAGTTTACTATCAGTTTAGGGTGCCTCGCAGACGTCATTATGTCGCTTTCGCGTTTACCTCATGATGTAGTTTACCCTATCTCGGTATTACGTGGAACACACGCATGACTTATGATAATCTTGTGACCTTATCTCATGCATGTCTCATGATATGAGGAAAATGTCACAAATAAATAGAGTATTACGTCACTTATTCAACCGCGAGGTTTTATTACTGGAACAAACATGTATGATCATATTACTCTATGTTTGAAGGAATTATACTGGCTTCCAGTGTCGAAGGAACTCTATTTACGTGATACAGTTGTGGTTTTTAAGTGCATAAAAGGGGCTGCCAACACAACGTTTCCAAGCAGACGATCAATAAGTGGACGGATTACAAGACAATCGAAATACATCCCAGAATATAGAACCGTTATAGGTAAAAAAAGTCATTTGTTTGTAGAGAATCGACATGGAATTCCCTTTGTCCTTCACTCAAACAAGTTGGTTCCAGCAGAGGTTCCAAACACCACTGGGCACTGGCTTGAAGGAACAGTTATTAGAAAGATTCTTAGATTCAAACTGACATAAGCTTGTTTCGACGTCGATTCGAATGTGTTTTTTTTTACATGCATCAAATGGAACTATGTTCCGCGACTTCGATTTAACATGTTTTCATTCGTATTCCTCTCATGGGACTGAATATATTGTATGTGCTGTCGATTTTCGAATTTTTTTTTCTCTTTTAACATTCCTTTCGACTGACCACTGTTATTGGTAATTTTGGTTGTTCTCTTTCGTTCTCGCTATAAACAATCCGCCCTCAATGGACCATTTGCATTATAGACTAAATTTTGATCTAGACAAAAATCTCATCACAGGTTGAAAGAGCATTAGTAATACAAAATTAGTAATATTCCAAAGTTTCGTTGCGAAATGTTGTAAAATGCGGATAATATAGCCTTGCGAAGTTTGCCGTTTTTCAGTCATTTTGTATTACAAACGGGAAATTGACAGCCCAATCGGGTGTTGGG